ATTCATTTAATCCGTTAAAATAGACAAATAAAATAAAAAATCTATTATTATTCTTTTTAATATAAAAGAGAAATAAAAATAAACTGAGGAACCATACTCCAATGTCACCAACTTATCTGACAATTCAAAATATTCTATTACATTATTTTTTTCACAGAGTATTTCTCTCCTATTGAAATATTATATTATTAATAATAATAATACTACGAAGAAGAAGAATTTTTTTTTTACGAATTTTACAAATATCTTACAAAATGTTACTACTACTTATCATTAATATAAATAAGTAATAAATTAAATTATAGTTATAAAATTTATAGCCAGACAAGAAGATGGAAAGAATACATGCAAGGCCATATATAAGTAGGAATTTAGTCTATTTCTGTTGAAAATGATAAAATGCAATTAATTCCAATCTTAATTAAACTTTTGTGATCTAATAGTATGTCTTTTCCCTTATGTTTTTGGAATTTTTCCCTTTTCATTTAAGTGCTTTTCTTCATTTATATACATATCCATTTTATATCTTTATTATCTCACTTTCTTACTTTAATAAAAGATGGAGATTAGATTTTGTGGTTCCTATCAATGTACTATTACTAATGCACCAGTTGCAAGAAGCTCTGGTCCTATAATATATAAATGTGTCATTTAATTTAGATTTTAATTGATATTTATGTATGTACTTTAATTTTAAGTATACGTAAATAGATACATAAATTTATATAAAATTGAATATACAGACACACACGTCCTAACTACTTGTTAAATATAAACTTATTTCTTGTTTTTTCTTTTTCCTTTCTAAAGTGGTACTACATACTTAATTGGAAAGGTTGAGAGAAGTCTTAGATCCAAAGGTAAAAGAACGACTATCTTGTTCAGTCAAAAATAAAAATTAACGGACCAAAAGATGCAAAAGAGTATTTATGAATCATTTTTCATACATTGAAATATTTATTACCCTTTTGTATTCAATATAAACAAATTTTATATTTCACCAAAAACAAGTATCAGGTATCATAATATATATAACTTTGATCAAACATGAAATCAACTCGAGTTTTACAATAACATGTTATTTATAATCTCTTTTAGCTGCAAGTCTACACGTACTTCCTTTTATAGATTAGTATGATGAATTGAGGCCGTGGTAGATGAGTTAAAATGTACTCAATTTTAAGTATATATTATGATTAGTATGAATTTATCAACGAACAATAATATTCTTATAAACATTGTATACACCGACTTTTTAGGAGATTAATACTGTTGTGTGTGTAATATATATGACAGTACTTTGAATTGAGACATAACTTATCATCCATATTAATTGTACTGAAAATACATGATATATTATTTATAAACATAATTATCAGAGTTTGCATTTGGGATGTTGACGAGATGTTCACACCTTTATTCTAATGATAAAAGTTTCAAAGTTCGAACCTCACTATATTTCACTTCACGAATTCGAAAAAAGAAGAGATGTTGACATATTTAGTACACAGTTTTGTAATCTAAAACAACAAGCTATGAGTCAAATTTGGTATTGGACCGTTCTACTTTTAACAAAAAACTAAGATATTTCGGCCCGTTTTGATTTCTCCTTTGAAAAAATTTGTAGCATATGTAACAAATGTTTGTATTAAAAATAAATAAATCAACTTTTATCTATAACAAACACAAAAATCATATTTGTATGTTATAACTATAGTTTGCATAATTGCTCTTCATAGCAAACTTAGCTATGCTATTTCTATACACATATACAAGAGCCAGTGATTATTTCGGCATATATATATACAAAAGAAATAATTGTATAATTCGTTGATTCCTCTTCAGGTTTGTATAATTTTGCTTGAAGATCATTTGTATAAATTGATGTCTGTCTCTCGTTTGTATAAATTGTTGGCATAATATCAATTCAATTTTATGTATTTGTATATCTGCATAAAATTTGAATTTGTATACAATTGAATCGAAATAAAACATTTCCCCTTGCTTATGTATAAAATTTGAATTTGTATACAATTGAATCAAAATAAACATTCCCTCTCTCTCTTTATACAAACATAAATTATACATTATATTTGTATAATTTATGTTTGTACGAAGCAAGAAAGAGAGAAAGACAAAGAAAAAATGGGGTAGGGAAATATTTATATTGTATAATTATAAGTTTATAGGATTAAGATATATATATTTACATGTGTATACAATTTTCTATTGCTTTATACAAACAGAAACGTAATCTATACATTTCTGTTTGTACAAAGCGCGCGAGTCAAGGGGGAGAGTGGCAAGCGAGAGTTTAAGAGAGAGAGGCGACTGACAACATATTTGCTATGGGGCACAATTAAATCAAATTATAATTATAACATTTAATCTAAATTAATAATTTCTCATTATATACAATTTTCTAAAAAAAGAACCCAACTTCTCTTCTCTCCTTTTTAAAAATTGTTGTTTGCAAAAGTGTGAAAATATTAGAAAAGCTTAATAGCTTAGTTTGTTGGCTAATTGAATTTTTATTTATTTGGTAAAAATTTGATTTTTTTTTAATCTTATAATCCTTTTTTTCCAATCCCCAATTTAGAAAATGAAAATGGTTAAAAATTAGAATATTGATGCTTCTGACTCTCTAGTAAACCCTTCTCTAAAATGCAACATCCATTGTGTGTGTATATATAATTAGAAGTTTCATTTTTAGAATTATATCTAGAAGTTTAAAAGGAAAATTATGCGGGATAACAAACATTTAAATGATGTTAAATATTATGGCTACTGTATTTAAAATTTGTGATTCACAACCATAGATTTCGTAAATTTTGCTATTTGTTTAATTTGTGTAATTCGCTAAATTGTATATTTGCCTAATTGTATAAAATAGAATTTTGTATAATTCGATTTCTGATTGTATATAATTCAGAATTTATAAATGCTTAACCTAGCTATTTGTATTCGATTTATGAAAAAATCAAGATAAATTACCTTATTTGTATATTGACAAGCGAAATATACAAATGAATTTCTAATTTTTTTTAAATGTATCTAATACATAATTTATATACTTATTTTATTTGTATATCAAACGGACAAGTGAAATATACAAATTGAGTTAAATTGCGTCTCCATAATAAACAAAACTGTAGCATTAAGGTATGGAACAAAATTATTGAAACTATATCTATAAAATTTTACTATGTCTACTATGTTTTGTTATTTCTAAAATTTTCTCTTACTTAAATTATTATTCAAACTTTATCCTTTTAATGTAAAAATACAATTTAGATAAGAGTATCTTAAATCTTAAATATAATAATACGATAAATCTCAGCATAATATACTCATTCATGGAACTTTGAAACATTTATCAATTTAAACTTCAAAAAGAGTTGATGAGATTTAAATTGTATTCTTCTTGAACTTATGTCAGCATCGTGGAATTTCACTTTCATAAATTTGTACTTTAAAAGACAATTTTCACATATAGCAAACAAAAAATTCATATTTGTATGCTATAGCAAACTTTGCATAATTGCGCTCCATAGCAAACATAAAACTGTATAATCTGCTATACATATACTATTGTATAATTCGCTAGCCTAAATTGTATAATTCACTGACCTAAATTGTATAATTCGCTGGCCTAAATTGTATAATTCGTTGGCCTATTTTGCTACAATTGTATAATTTGTTTTGCATATAGTTGAATCGAATTAAAATGTATGTATATTGCATAATTATAAGTGTATATCAAGAAGATATATGTTTTTCTAGTTTTATACAAAAACAGAAACACAATATATACACTTCTGTTGTATAAAGCTAGAGAAAATTGTATATCATTGCAATTGTATAATTCGATGGCCTTTTTCTCTGCAATATTTGAAGTAAAATGTTTGTAAATTGCATAATTAAGTGTATAACACAAAGATATATATTTTTGCATGTGTATATACAATTTTCTCTCGTTTTATACAAAACAGAAACAGAATTATACACTTCTGTGTATAAAGCGAGAGAGGCGAGCGAGAATGGAGAGTGGCGAGCGAGATTTTTGGGAGAGAGACGCTGACAAATTTTAGCTAATGTTTGCTATGGAGCACAATTAAATCAAACTCTAGTTATTCCATTTAATTTAGGTTATTAGTTTGCTATTATATATAATTTTCCGTTTAAAATATTGCCTTTTTTTGCTTTTATAAATTTTCCTTTGAAAGAGAAAATTTCCATCTTTTAGGCCCAATTTGTTGGAAAAGACAAAAATATTTCAGGCCCAACTATGCTGTGGCCCAATAATTTTTCTTGTTTGGTGTTTCTAGTCGGCTGTTATGAGTCATAAGTAAAGACCACGAACAAAGAAGACACAATGGCACTAAGACTGGTCAACGGACCGGAACCGGTTCACCGGACTGGAATGAATCGGTACCGGACCGGATTGGAACCCGTTGACCGGTATGTTGATCGGTACCGGGATGAACCGGACCGGAATTACCGGAATGATTCATCGGTTCCGTTCCGTTCCACTATATACCGGGATGAAACCGGAACGGACCGGAATGGAACGGGACGAAATTAATGGGACGTTTTTTGGAATTATAAAAATATAATTATTTTTTTTATTTTTTAAGTACAAATTAATAGTTTTTAAATTTATACTATAATGTTTACTTAAGTTTATTTTAAAGATATTTTATTAATGTTTTTTTTGTTGTTAAGTTTGCAAGTAAAGTCTAATTAAGTTTTCAAAATTTAAATCTTTTGAAGTTTATACTTTATAAATTATTACTTATATTCATTAATATTTATTTTATAAGTTATATTTATAACTTGTATCTTGTAAATATTAAATAAATAAAATTTGTAATTTTAAAAAAATAAATTAAATATAAATTATAAAAAAATTAATATATATTAAATAAATCGGACCGAAACCGGACCGGAACCGGAATGAACCGGAATGAACCGGGATGAACCGGTACCGGTACACCGGTACGAAATCACGGTTCCGTCCCGTTCCGTGTACCGGTTCAAACTATCCCGTCCCGTCCCGTAGGCAACCGAAACGGGATGAACCGAAACGGTACCGGTACGTCCCGTTCCGTTGACCAATCTTAAATGGCACAATGAACAAGTGACGCGTGTGATCACGCTCCACATGTCCCTTTGCTTCTTCTTCTCTTCCCTTTTCACTTTCAATTTTCTCTGATCCATAGCCTAAATTTTCTTCAATTCTCCGTCACATTCCCCTGCAAATTGAAGAATATTTCAGGGTTTAGTGGGTAATCAAGGTGAAGAATTACTGAAGGCAGCTTATAAAGGTTCAAACTTCACAGGAGGTTGTTTGGAAATTCGTTTGTTCTACGTACGCATAGTGTTCTGCGCGGTTGAGGTAGTTCCGGATCACCTTATACTTCGTCGCCTGCGCCGTGAAATGGGTGTTTCGTTAGAGATTAATGGGTGTCGAATTCCAGCATCCGACACCGTTTCCATCACGGAAGAAAGCAAGTTCTAAATTTGACGTGAATTTTCCTACTGAACCAAACAATCCAATCAACCTAAGTGATTTCGAAGAAAATACTGGAAGTTTCATGTAAGAAGTATCAGTCTTTGTTATGTAATAAAAAATTTCAGTAATGTTTGAACATCAGGTTTTTAATTAATTTATTAGGACCACTTCAGACTTTAAAGTTCTGCCATAGATCACATCACTATTTAGAGATGGACAACCCTTTATTTATTGGATATCTTAGAAGTGGTTGAAATATGAAGAGATATTGTGAAAAAAATAATCGATTACTATTTAAGTGTGGAAATTTTGATTTCATACCAAAACTAGGATTGATTGTGGGAAGGGGTTTGCATGAAGATTCAAGATTTTGTTGTTGAGTAGAATGTTCGTCTTATCTCAGATTATGCTTGATTATCGCTCATGCGTTTGTAAAACTCAACTTAGATCTGTAGTAGAGGTAACAATTCACTTGCCCAGATTAAGTTTTAGAGTTTGACATATATGGTAGAGGAGTGAAACCAACTTTGGTTTAGCATGACACTAAAGAAAGACAGACTTGAGCACTTCAAAGAATTGATAAAAAGTACCGTTTGTTACTATGTTGTTAGTTGGCACCAGGTAAAAAGAAGTGTAGTAGAGAATTTGAGTGACTTGTGTCTCCTTAGTCCTTATCAAAAGAAAATCATATTCATCAGCGCAAGAGTATTTTCTGCTTAATAATTTTCGGGCTTAGAAGCATATCCCCCAGTTTACTGATGATGCTTGGCCTGACATACTGGTTGCAGAGGGTTTACCAAAAGCTATAGAAGCATAAGTTCTTTGTTAGCAACTAAGAAGATAGTATGTTATGTAAGGAGAAGTTTCTGTTTGCTTCTTTTTCTCTCTAGTGGTATCTTTATCTCTCCTAAATGTTGCTATGTACTCTCTAACTTAAGATGTACACACACATTTTCTATTGTTTGAATTCCAAATACTACCCTAGTTATCCTCACCTCAAGCACAATAAGGACTCCCTGGAGCAATGCTTAGGTGGGCTTTGATTGTGGAGCAAGTTTAGGTCTGGTTTGGTTTTGATATTCTTAACCAGTTTCTGGGTTTGATTTTTCATATGACTGTTTGTATCTAAGATAACCTCAGCTGGGTAATTGACTGTTCTTTCTTCCACTTGGCGTCTGTTGTATCTCTCTATGGAGTCCTCTCAATGTTGCTTTCTTGGCAAAACTTTTCCCATACAATTGGGAGTGCTTGGGAACTACCTAGTGTAGTGACCAACCAGGAAAAGAGGTTGAGACTTGAGTCAACCATATTGGTTATATTCTTTATCGTTTATAGCCAAATACCACATTTTAGTTTCCTGTGGTTTTTATTTGTCTGCCAAGTTCTTCACAAAAACGTTAAGACTAAGATTTATACAACTCATTGGTGTATCTATACCATGCTATGACTGTTCTATATGTTCTTCGCAGAAATGTTCAGACTTAAATATTCTTAATAATCAATTGGAGTCTATGTTGTTGTTCTGCATATGTTATTTTTCAAACATCGAAATGATCATATACTTTTATCAGATTTATTTTATTATTTTGTCATCTTTAACCCATTGAGAATACTTAATGTATCCTACTTCATGCTGTAGACATTTTGAGTTTACCGCAATTTCTTGTAAATTGTGGTGGATAAACATATATCAATCTTTTATGTTTGTATATTTTGTCATCTCTAAATCAAACTCCTATATTTGACCTTGTGCAATACTAGACGAGAGTAGAAAAAGTTGTGGTTCACCCCAAGTTAGTGTTTGAAAAATGATCAGGCTTCCTCCTGCTGATATTATCGCAGCCTACAAACTTATCTAACCGCTATCTCTATGAGTTCTTTTACCAGCAAATGTGAAGTCTTCTCGTTTTGTTTCCTTTTTTTAAAAAAAATTGTATGTGTTTTCAGTTCATCTGTTGTTTTCTCATCTTTTTTCTTCTTTCATGTGTGCATCGATTGTAAATCTTCCAATTGATAAGTTGCTGGAAACATAGTTTTTACATACTGATCAGTAATAGATAGTAATCGGAAGTTTTCTTTAATGCACTGTTTGTTTCGGCAGATCACAGACTCCGAGTTGGATGTTATGAGTCAGAAGGAAAAGCTGGACATGGCTTTTACTCAGAAGACATGTACTATGGTGAAGATGGTCAACTCTCCTGGTTCAATGCTGGAGTAAAGGTTGGAGTGGGGATAGGCCTAGGGATGTGTGTCGGTGTCGGAATTGGGGTGGGGCTACTTATGCGCTCTTATCAAGCAACCACTACAAACCTGCGGAGGAGGTTCTTTTAAGCATGAGAATTTTTTTGTGAGTAAACTGTGGTCGTTATTGACTTTGATTTGAAGATGAAAATCAAGATCGCTAATGGTTGTTGTTGATGTTCAGCATCCAACAGTAACTAGGCAATAGAGGATGACATAGTGGAGCCACTGAGGTGTGACATAATATAAATCTCTGGAGTGAATATTAGTTCTTGATATACTGAAGCTGCAAAAGACCCTCCATCAAAGGCTTCTACCGGAATGTTGACTGATACTAATGTGGATATAGCTGTATTTAAAACCATTGGGAACAATGTGTTTATAGGTATAGTAACGTCTTGTGTTTGGCTATGTTGCTCAAACTATCGAAAAATGTCGACGGGTGCGTGTCGAGTTTGCCAAAAAATAGTGTATTTTTGAAGAACCTGACATGGGTACGGCACCAAAAGTGAAGTTTGACAACTAAGGTGTTGGGGAAGATGAGCTGTATTTAGATGTAAGTTTTTTATACAATCATCTTTTCGAGTAAAGTTTTTCTGGGTAGCTAGCGGGGGATGCTGCTGACATCTTTTTGGGTGTTGTTACTTTATGTGAGTTTACAATGGTCTTCAATTTTGGTCATGGCAACAAGCTGCCATTGTGTAATAAGTGTCGTTTGTATAATTCTGACTGAAGTGGATACTGTACAAATTACTAATACAATGAATAGTTTATTTTGTAAATTCTTGAATTTTTGGTTCAGATATTGATTGTTTCAAGCTTTGGATTCCTCTTACCATATTTGGTACAGTGCACTGATGGTGTACTAACATTGGATGAGGTATTTTTTTTTCTTCTCGGTGTTTGGTATCTTTATTAGAGACGGACTAATTTGACTTCGTGTTGAATAGGGCCATTAAGTGGTACTTGATAGCACTTCCTATAAAAAAATTTCTATTCAGAGCTAAAAATTGAGATCTGTATTTAAAGGTGAAATAACTCCATTCATTACACCAAGTCAAGTCACCCTGGTTGGATCATTGTTGTTGACATACTAAAGATAACATCAAAAGTATTCCCTTCTAACAAAAAAACTATAATTACTAATTATATCAAGTTTTTTTGTCTAACAAAAAACTGAATTTATTTACGTAACTTTATATGTGAAACTATAATAATGAAGTTTTTTTATAAGTACAAAACTAATTAAATATTTTTAAAGATTATTACTATGAATTGAGTATTATGGAATAGTTGATCCACTTGCATTTACAATAGTACAAATGACTTGTATTGATTGCTAATAATAATAATAACAAATGACTTCTATCTATTGCTAATAATAATAATTCATTTGTCACAAATGAGGATTTCAGAAATTCTACTAACCCATGTTACAATAGATAAGAGAAATTGTACCAATCATTTAAATATGTGTACTGCTATCTTTTAAAAAAAAAATAGCAGTGAAAAAGGATCTAATAATATTCTTTAACTTTTCATTATAAAATATCTAGATATATAAAATGAAATAGAGATAGTATTTTTTCGTCTTTTTTACTTCTTCCATTTTGATTTTTTACTTGGAAGTATTATTTTTGTGGAATAATGCAAGTACTCTTTTATTTTTCTATTTTTTTTTGGTTGACTCTTTTTACTTTTCATTTTTGATTAACCAAGACTCGCTTTGTCCCTCTATATAACCACGCAAAATGTGAAAATGGGCACCAACAGGAAGCTACTGATGGAGTACGCGTAGCATACATTATTTATTTATTTTTTTAAAAAATAAGCAGAAATATTGTATTTTTTATTTTTATTTTTTTTGGTATTATTTGATCTATTAAGACTGACCCTTAAGCACGTGAATACGCTCTCTCTTTCTCTGTCTCTCTCATTCTCCATCCATTGATTGCTAGCACGAAGGGCGGATCCATAATTTTATTGGGTAAGTTTCTGCTCTTTTCTCTTCATATCCATACCTATGTCAATGGATTCTCCATATCTGTTTTTCGCACAAATCATACCGGTTGTTTTTTCTATATTTTATGGATTTCACTTTCGGATCCTAATTCCGATTCAATTTCATCGCCGATTGAGAACCGTCGGCTAATCAATTAGGTTTCAATTACAAATCGTGTATAACCTGTTCCGTTCGATTGGAGCCCCAAATCTAATGCTGATGCAGATTTCTGTAAGATGATGTATTATACTGTAGTTCGAAAGAAATAATGAAGATGATTTCTCAGATTAAGATCAAGTATCTGACTGATTGATTGATTATTATTGTTATCAACATTTGTGCTGGCTTAACTTGAATTTCTGTAAGAGGTTGTTTACAGTTTAATTTATATATATACTGCCTAGATCTAAATTAGTCTGTTCGAAGGGTTTTTTGCGTTAATGCTTGCTACGGTGTGTAGATAATTTGATCATTAATTTTTCTAGTAAGTCTTTGATTAGTTCGTCTTAGATTATAATTGATTCTCTACTCGACAGTGAACTGGTAATAATCATAGAGAGAAACCGCTGAAATATATGTGGTAGTATGCGGTTGTTTATAAACATGGAGTATTCTAGGCTAAATGCATGGTACTTCTCAATTGCTAGTTGTGGTTTACTGCTTCTTTGTGAGCTAGAGAACTGTTGAAGAGTGCTTATTATTGTTCTTGCATATAGTGATGCATGTTTGGCAGTTAGTTCAAGTGTATGTTCAAAGCTAACTCATTTAGCTGTTTTAGGTGTGCTTTTTGATCTATACTATGACATTGCTCCTTTTGATAGATGAGGGAAGTGTGAAAAGCTATGGATGTCATGCAGGGATATGGGTTGACTACCATCTATCCAACTGGATGCATTTTCTGATTTCATATTTCCAGAAATATTTGGTTTTTGACCTAAAATACATGAATATTTTAGATTTCTCAAAGAAATAACTTTTCTACTCTAGGAGTTAGTCCAATTTTGAAATAGTTTATTAATAGTGGTATTACTTGTATCAACATTATAGGTTTGTATTTTACTGTTCTGGATAATATGGTGCAAAACACTATATTACATATTGTAGCCTGCCGTTGCTTCATTAGCCAGGAAGAGTGAAACGAAGTCTGAGCTACTGCATTTCTTGTGTTTCAGTGGTCTTGATTTGAGATCACAGTTTGTTTTGTGATGTTTGTAGTTCATTGAGAATGGCCTTTTCTGTTTCCTTAACTTGGGAGAGTATGGGACGGAAAAATTTTATGGAAAAAGAAACACAGGGCTTTCAGAGTATTTAATTCATAAATCAACTGAGTTCTTTTTGAAATGTGGTTTTTACATCCTAGAGATTACCACTAAAGGAATTGACATTTGTTTCTTATTTCATCAATTACATGCATCTTGACATTTGGTGCGTTTTCCTTTTGCTCTTGCCTATAGACTTTAAAAATAAGCTTCTGAAGGCCAAAAGATCTATAAATTTCTTTTTTGAAGAATGGTCTATCTTGTTGCATACAAGTATAAGTGACACTTTTTTAACTGACAAGTGCAGTGGTTGACTCTGGGTGGTTGAAAGAATGTCAGGCATGGAGGATGGAGCTGAAAAGTCGAACCCATCCACCCAACAAGAAGTTGTGTTTGAACCAAGATTTTTTGTTTTCATCTTACATTTTAGTTATATTGCTGATATATTGACATAACTTATCCTCTTTTTGTTAGGAGGAAGTTGTTAAAAAGAAATATGGAGGAATGATACCCAAGAAGCCACCTCTAATCTCAAAGGTAAGTCATAGTATTTGTCTGCTAGATTGTTACTGTGATTGGTGGCACAGTAAATATCAACATTTTTTTGTGAGTATTGCCTCTATCTGTGTTAAAAACCACCTTTTTTGTCTTCAGGACCATGAGCGTGCTTATTTTGATTCTGCTGACTGGGCTCTTGGAAAGGTATTTGCTCTTTGTACTCTCTATGATTTCGCTACAGTTGAAGTTTATACATACATTATATTGGTATGATGATCACCTAAACCTTTATGATGGTTAATAATCACAGCAAGGCGCAGATAAGAAGCCCAAAGGTCCACTGGAGGCACTTCGCCCAAAATTGCAGGTATTTTGTCGCTTATGAGCCCTCTGAATGGAATTAATCATTTGTCTAAGGCTCTCAATTTTTCTGATAGGTTAATGATTGATGAAACAATTTATTTGACATAATTTATTCTTTGATTGACATTTAAATGTGATGTTAAGGAGACCCTATGGTAATTTGGGATCATTTGATGTTTCGGTATTTATATACCTTTTGACTTTATGGTTGCATAAGACTTTAGTTCAAGAAATTTTATTTTTGGTGCTACAAGAACAAGTATTGAGCATGGCCTTTCTGGATTCTTTGGTTCACTTCTAATGTCTAACGTCTCTTTTGAACTCTTAATTCTAGCCAACACAACAGCAAACGCGATACCGCAAGTCTCCTTGTGCTCCATCAGAAGGTGAAGGTATGCAAGATGATTGATTTTGTTTATATACCGACTTCTTGTTTATGTAAATTAAGTTTTTGCTTGACCTCAGAAAGTATTAACGGATGGAGATAGTTACTAAGTTGGGTTGTTCACTGTTGAGTTATTGTTCCTTTGTCCTTATAATTCTGAAAAGTTTTATGACCTTGTCTCCTGCGTCTTCCCTAGATGGAATTGCTCCGTCGGAGGATCCAACTGCAAATGAATGAGAAGGAGATGTTGACTCTTTGTCGAAATGTCATAAGCTGTTTACATGTCTGCTCTTAAGAATTTTATAAAATAAAAATGATTCACGGGCTGTTTCAACTTTTACTTGAGGCTGGTATTGTGTTGCTGTAACATTGATGTAGGATAATTTCTTATGCTGTCCAAATGAAACGAGTTTCCTGTTTGGGTCTATCCTTCCCAGGAATTTATTTTAGAACTAGATGCTAAAATGATTATGTTACTATTATTATTTATTTACTTGTATTTGTGTTGGTATTACTTTTAGCATTAGTAATGGTGAATCCATGGTTTCAAGTTATGGTAGAATGAAGTCCAAAATAAAATTAGCTATGCTTAGTGGTAACACGGAATTCTGCTGTTTTCTTCCGGAAGACCCTTTTCAAGTGTGCACTTTGATTAATTCCGCAAGGTAATTTCTACCTTTCAACAGTTCAAATATTAGATAACTCTGTCTGCCAAATCATAGTTTTTAGCCCCACATCATTGTCAACTAGGCACATACCATTGTGTACTTCGGAGAATTTTTTTGATTTTGCATGCAATATGAAACATCCATAAGAATTTAAGGATAACACAACAAAGCATTACTACTTTTGTATCATTGTAGTTGAACCAGTGGTGTTCAATCGGTGCATAATAATCACCTGAGAATGAATCATAAGTCTAGAAATGTCACCATGGGTTTGGATTTGAGATGTGATGAAGGAAAACTCAACCTTTTGCTTCCATCACAAATGTTTTTAAAATAAAGCTATTTCTAAGTCTGTTCAACGCCAATTACCGTAAACATTGGGTCTTTAAGCCCATTTGTTATTTTTTTCCTAGCAATCGAGATATATTCAGCAATACTCTACGTCTGTTCGACGTTCTTTCCTTTTTTCAACAAAAAAAATGACAGCATAGACTTGACTTAGAACAAGTCAATAACAAGTGCAAGTTTCGCATACACCTAAAATACACTGTTAATTCCTTTGTTCCATTAGTTCTTGCAAAGTCATTTCTTCCAAATCTCGAAAAACATTTCTCC